TTTTATAGTGAAAAATATGTCTAAAATTCAACAGAACAATTAGCGTAAATGTAACTGATGTCGGCTATTCTAAAGTCAGAACATTTTTTTATATAAAATGAAAATAAAAAGTTTCCGCACCGTTTTTTTTTGTGTTTTTATAATCGGAAAAATGTCTAAAATTTAATACAAACATTGACATAAATGTAACAGATTTCGGCTATTCTAAAGTCAGAGCATTTTTTCTAATTAGTGCATATTCTAAAGTCTATTAAATTTCCTCAGAAAATGGATACAGTTTATTTCCACAGGAAAATTTTTATTTTCCTCAATTCGTGAATGCTTCTAAAAGGCAAAAATATATTTATTTTCTATATAACTGATTTCAGCTATTCTAAAGTCTAATAAATTTCCTTAGAAAAATGAAAACAGCTTATTTCCGCAGGAAAATTTTTGTGTTTATATTGTTCAGAAAAATATTAAAAATAAAACGCAAAATGTATTTTTTTAATAGCAGATTTCATTTATTCTAAAGTGCGAAATTTGAAAATTAGGCATTTCCGCAGGAAAATTTGTGTTTTCCGTGATTCACAGTAGCTTTTTAAAGACAATTTTTTTTTTCTAATAACTGATTTCAGCTAAACGAAAGTTGACGCAGAAACTGTTTAGTTTTATGTGCTTGTCAATTACATAGGGTGGGTCAAAAAAATCCACTTATTTTTTTCACTTTAGACTCTGAAAAAAAGGTTGGTAGACAACTATGAAACTATGAACCCTTCCTGGACACAAACGGTACATTGTGAGACAGGAAATTGTAGAGAGAAACAAGCCCTATAACATAGGATACAACATTTTAATGAACAGTGCTTTCCATAAAATCAATAAAATGAAAAATATAGGAAATAATATACAAGTACTGATTTCTTTCGAAAATCGAACTATGAACCCTTCCTGGACACAAACGGTACATTGTGAGACAGGAAATTGTAGAGAGAAACAAGCCCTATAACATAGGATACAACATTTTAATGAACAGTGCTTTCCATAAAATCAATAAAATGAAAAATATACGAAATAATATACAAGTACTGATTTCTTTCGAAAATCGACAACTATGAAACTATGAACCCTTCCTGGACACAAAAGGTGCATTGTGAGACAGGAAATTGTAGAGAACAAGCCCTATAACATAGGATACAACATTTTAATGAACAGTGCTTTCCATAAAATTCTAGATACCGAGATATAAATTTTTCTTTCTAATAATAAGGAAAAAATAGAAAACTGAAAGGGGGAAGACCTTCCTATTAAAATTAAGAGCTCATACTCGGAGAGAATTTCTTTGAGGGGTCTACATTACCAACCTATTTTTCAGAGTATAAAGTGAAAAAAAATAGTCGATTTTTTTGACCCATCCTATGGCCTATAGTGTATAATATTCTACATCATATTCATGCAACACTACTTTAAAAAAACTTTATAAAAGTAGAATTTAGAATTTAGAATGAGTGGGAGGGGGGTTAATCACTTCGACCTTACAGATCCATTGTGTCCCCCTTTCTTGAATCATAACTCATCATACAGTCCCAGGGCTTTGACAAAAGCCAGTATCTGGGACGGTTTTATAGAGGGTAGTTCTCCATCTCCAATATCAGTCGTACCAAAGTTCATGGCACGAATGGTTGTCATCTCGGCGCACTCAGTGATGAGGTGTACTGGTGTTTCCCCATCTTCCCCACAGAATCTGCATTCGCCGTTTCTTCTTAGTTTCAATCTACTGAGGTGTTCGTTGAGGAGACAGTGTCCTGTTAAAAACCCCGTGACAATCCGAAGATTGTTCTTACTCAGACCCAGGAAGATCTGTGATTTTTCTTCATCATAAGCCCTCAGAAACTTCTTCGAGTGTCTTAGACCATTGGAAAATTTCCATTCCAGGTTGCGGATGGAATCTTCCAAGTTCTTGAGTTCCGCCTTGAGTTGGTTACCACTTGGAAAGCAGAACGGTTCTGGTTCAGTTAGTGGAGTGTTCGCTGCTTTCCTAGCTAGATTATTTGCTTTTTCATTGCCTTCTATCCCTTGGTGAGCAGGCACCCAGTGTAGGAGGACTTTGTTTTCTTTGCCTAATTTATTCAGCTTCTCTATGCATTCTTTGACCAATTTCGAATTGATTGATACTGAGTTGATCGCCTTTAACGCTGCTTGACTATCAGATAAGATGGCTATTTCTTGTTTCCGATAGTTCCTATCTAAGATAAGTTGTACGCATCTCTCGATAGCGTAGATTTCTGCCTGTAGAATACTAGGGTAAATGCCCATTGGTTCGGAGTAATTAGCTCTCGGCCCAAACACTCCGATCCCTGTTCCCGTATTGGTTTTAGAAGCATCAGTATACCAAGTTATGGTATGGTCTTTTAACTGCTGGGCAAGCGTTTCGCTCTTCCAATCCTTCTTATTGCTCAATACTACATTGACATGTTTGTCAAAGTTGTACGTTCTTGGCAAATCGTCCACTGGGAGTTGCAGGAGTGGTATTTCCTTTTTGAGGGTGTTCCAAGCCCCTGATCTGACAATTCTCCCAGTACTAATTCCGTTAATGACCATTCTAATCATTGTCGCATTGGCATATCTACCAATGACAATGTGCAGTGGTGTTAGATCTAGAATGACCTCCATTGCTGCTGTTGGACAGGTTCTCATGGCTCCTGTGATGCAAACACATGCTAGTCTCTGGACTTTGCATAGGTTTAGCCTTGCCGTCCGTTGCTCTAGTTTTGTGTACCAGGCAACTGCTCCATAAGTAATCATGGGTCTTACTATCATGGAATACATCCAGCGCAAAATGTTAGGGGAGCAGCCCCATCTATTTCCGGCCAGTCTTCTGCATATCATGAGAGCCTTTATGGCTTTGCTGGTAGTGTTCTTAATATGCCTGTTCCACAGTTATAAAAGTAAAAAAATATCTTGTTCAACAACTTGATCCGTCTTTCGTACTAACCACAAAGATTTAACTAAATTTCGTAATTATTTATATCACAAACTGATAACATATTCAATTTGTCATTCATTAAATGGCCAGAGTTAAAAACAAGACAACAAATTTTAGATGCCTCTTGCATTATAAGTACACACAAACAAAAATATTTGGTACTTGTTTTTCGCAAAAGAGTTATTAACGAATTGTGCTTATTACACAAATATGTATAAAAAATGGATCCTGTTTGTGGAAACCGTATTAAAGTATTTGTAAATAGTTTTATAAAAGATAAAGCACTAATTGGTGCTCTTGTTTTATTTCGTTGAAGATATAGTCTAATAACAATATAAATTTAAGTTACTAAAATTTAGAAACAGAGTAAAACTTTAAGGACTGGATTTTTTTTATATATCAATCAAATCGATGCATCAGCATATATGGAGAAATGATCAGATTATGCATTGCATGAGCATTAATTTAAAAAAAAAGAATTTAATTTATTAAAAAATTTATTGATCACAATTATGCATCTCTACATATACCCATAAAATATTTTGTTTCTACATCTTTTCGTTTTCGTATAATCAACCGAGGCGAATGAGGTGCGCCACCCTGTACATATTCATTATTTTAATTCCTAGAATTGACACAATAATTCCAATGATTCAGAAATTATACGCATATCATAATATCATTATCAGCTACCAAGAACCAAAAATACACAGAACCCAACCACAATATGAATATTAAAACATGCGAATTCATAATTCTGTACTTTCCGAAGAAAATATATTTTTTCGTAATGCTTGGCATGTAGAATAAATCCATTACATTGATTTGAAGTAACAGCCCTATTTGTTTGTACCAATAAACCACAAGAAAGAGCAATAAAAGGTAAACAATAGGGAGCAATTATTGGGACAACATCGTGGTTTTTAATCTAAGCGCCAGCCGAAGATCGCACGATCGTAGGCGAAGATATGCGAAGACGCGACAGCGAGGTTGCCAGGTTTACCCGGATATAAGTCTTTAACAGTATGTTCTTTAAAATCTTTAGCGTTTATAAATTTTTCTCAAATATACGTGCTAGTTTAGTTTTTTTAAATTATTTTTAGTTGATACCGTGACTACCTAACATACAGGTTTAATATACAGGGTGGTCCAATTTTTAGTAAGAAGTCTTTGAAGTACCGTATGATAGAAAAAAAGAGTTTTGCTTAAATTTTGAGAACCACTGGATATTTTCTGGATTTTCATTCTTGTCCATTTAATCTACGACCTATAGTGCCATATTATTAGGAAATTATGATTTTTAACAAAAAACTAAAAAAAAATCAAATTTTTTTCAAAATATATATTCCAAATTTTCAAAAAAATGTTTGCGAAAAAAAACTTACAATCATGTTTCTGGATTCGAAATAAACCCCTAAAAATAATTGTACTTATTTAAGACTCACCCTGTATAATTGAAGTTGATATGAAAATATGATTGATATAAAAAAAAAATTGAAAATTCGAAATTTTTTGAATTTTTTTTTGGATTTTTAGTTAAAAACCATAATTTCTTGATAATATGGCCAACAGAGGTATTAGATTAAATTTACAAGAAAGAAAATCCAGAAAAGATCCAGTGGTTCCCAAAATTTTAGCAAAAAATATCTCTTTTTGGAAATTTTCAAAGTAAAATAACTCCGTTATTTTGGACTTATTTGAAAAACGATAAAGAGAAAATATGTTTCTTTTATCGAGATCTACCACCCCTTGAAATAATTACATTTATTTCTGGCACACCCTGTATCTAAAACCAGCCATTTTTAATATTTATATGAAATTTTTTTCTTACAATAAGTTTTTCTATCTACTGGTAAGTCTTGTTTCCAATTAACTTCTTTCTTTCAATAATTTTTTAATTTACATTAATCATTAAAATCTACTTAAAAATAAATTATAAATTAAAATAGTCAAATCTTCTGATCAAAAGAGGAAATAGGCAACGCTGTCCGCGTTCCAAACAACTTCAGCGTTGCCATTCGCTGCGACCCGGCCAGACAATCAGACGGATCATGCTGCTCGGAAAGCGTGTACGTCAATTCGTTTCCTAAAAATCGTGTTATCCATGGCTGTGCATTGTTGTTGGATCGTTTCTTCCTGAAATCATATCAAAATTCACGCGTTTGATCGAAATATTAATTATAATTGTGATCTTTTGTGCTCCTAGCTCAGTTTTTGTTTAGTGTTCGCTCTTTTAATTGGATTATCTCAGTTTTTTGGCCATCGAAGAAATCAAATTCAAGGTGAGTGCGTGTGTTGTGTGCAATGTCACCAATGAGTCTTTTATTTTACGGCCTCACCAATAACAACAAGTAAATGTCGCAATTTTTCGAAGGTTTTTATCATCGACTACGCAACGTTGTAATTAAAGATGAATGTTGGGAAATTTTCCTGTGTGCTTTGATTAAGATTTAATAGGTCTGATGAACGTTTATAGAAAGAAATAAACAGCTATAATTTATGTAAACATGAGAAATGCTCTTTGTTTTTGATCATTCTCAGAAACAGAAGCTTTTTTGTTAATGTCGTTAATATTTTCATACAGAAATGTCAGAAATATACTTTGTTTATGAACAATTTTAGAGATATACATATGTGGCTGTTGTGAATGTGTAAATAAGTCATTATAAACATTGTTTATGTTACATTATCATAAATGAAGTTATTTTTATAGGAAACTCTGTAAGACAATGAAATATATTTTCTAAAACTAACAAAGCGAATTATTTTTATAGTTATTTAAACAATATTGAGTGGGCGATACTTTTGAAAACAAAAATTTGTTTGACGTGACATATGTAGGTGTACAAAAATTATTATTTTGACAATATATGAAGGTCATTCTCTTTAAAATTATTTATATATTTACTAAAAAATGGCGTCATAAGAATATATATATTGTTAGTTAAGAACAGGTATTGAGAAAATATTTGTATTTTACCAAAAAAAATACTGATATATTGAAGACTCCTGCTTGTCTCATAGTCAAAAAGGTTTATGATTAAGGTGGCTTTGATTTTGACTTGACAGATAAAAACAAATATTCTAACGCAATTTTCCATAAAAATTTGTTTAGCTGTTATCAATCAAGTTCATTTGCTTCTGTTTTTTGAATTGTTTGTTTTACAGTGTTCTTCTCAGATACAAACAAATTTTAAACGATTAGGTATATCTTATTTATCTCTTTTTGTTGTTTACCTACTTCTAAAGACTTCCTGTAATAATAAACGTTCATTATATGAATTCTTTAAACCCACAGTGACGTAGGCACTTGAAATTATATTGTTCCTATCGAATGTTTACTAATTAATTTGACAGTGACTCATTCACTAATCTTCCTTTTGTTTCTTCTGTTTCAGAAACATTAAGCTCCACGACGGATCAGTAAGTACGGTATCCTAGTGACATTATCGCCTTATCACAGTGAATTAGTGCATTCGCGAGTGAACTATCACAGTGAACGTCATGCAAAACGTGCAGGACAGTCCGGTATCCAGACTGCAAGAGGTAGAGAAGCATGCTTCGTCCGGAGACGTGTCCATGTCGCCGGACATGTCGGTGAGCTGTCCGGTGGACACTGTGATCAAACGTATCCGTCATCACGTGAACGGTGGCAGTAGCTGTGATATCCGCGGGCATCGCGTCCCTTCGTCCGATAACGGTGATAAGTCCGGCTGCCAGGCTGGACCTGTGATAAACGACCAAAATTGTGATAGTAGTGACTGTTTCGAGAGTACTCTAGTGGCGGACAAGTATCAATTATTTGAGCAGGCGGTGGGTAGTTCGTTGTATAGATGTATCGATGTAAATACTAGCGAGGAATTAGTTTGTAAGGTAAGGAATTTATTTTTTCTAAAAATATATAGTGAAACATCAAGGTTTCTCAGAGATTTTTCAAAAAAAACTTTGAAATTCCCTAATTTAAATTTAATTTAAAGACGCGCGACAACGCCGCATGATGTAATAGCATGGCGAATTCGATTAAGGTGAGTGCCGAGCAAGGTTGCCTAATTTTTTTTCAAGGATTATTTTTTCCTGTAGAAATTTATACACTTCCCCAGGAAATTAACGCACCACAAAAAAATAACCCTAACTGTATTTTGATAGGAACCCTTTTTATACTAATACCGGGTGTAGCATTTATAACGTGTTTTTTTAATAAAATTTGTGACACTCTGTAGAGTTGATCAGTTACAGTATCAAGTTAAAATTGAAATCACATTTTAGCCTTATCTTTTTTTTACATTTTGTTTTTTTATTTACTCCATTATCTTCCTTATTACACGAGAAACAACATTTTATAGGATGACATGATTTAAACATTTTTCCATTTTACTCACTAAAGTAAGTAGCAGGCTATGGAAAAACACGGATTACCAGTAAATGTCAAATAGAGATGCTAGTTTCTGTGCAAACTTGTAGACCATTAGTATCTCTGAGCTGAGTTTGAAGGGTCCGAGCTGTTAGGAAACGTTGTCTTAATGTTGAGAGTTTTAAAAAACGTTCGATTCCTGTCTTGTCCCGGCCTGCGACAATTACTCCCCCAGTATCTCTATACCGTTTTATAACTCGTGAAATGGTTGAGTGAGTTACATTAAATCGTTCACCAATTCTTCGGTAGCTCCAACCTTCCTCAGGCAATATTAATGCTTGAGCACATTCTTCGCCAGTAAGATTTCTTGTTTCACGTGCACGTTGCATATTTTTGAAATAATAAAAGGACGAAAACGACTGACACTGACAACAAGCATCTCTATTTGACATTTACTGGTAATCCATGTTTTTCCATAGCCTACTACTTACTTTAGTGAGTAAAATGGAAAAATGTTAATTAAAACCAATATTAAATCCTGTCATCCTATAAAATGTTGTTTCTCGTGTAATAAGGAAGATAATGGAGTAAATAAAAAAACAAAATGTATAAAAAAGATAAGGCTAAAATGTGATTTCAATTTTAACTTGATACTGTAACTGATCAACTCTACAGGGTGTCACAAATTTTATTAAAAAAACACGTTAGAATTGCTACACCCGGTATTAGTATAAAAAGGGTTCCTATCAAAATACAGTTAGTATAGCAACATTGTGGAAAGAATAACCCATCATTCAAGAAAAAATCGTCCAAATCGGATAAGTGGTTTTGACAAAAAGTTAACTTAAACTTTTGGTTATTTTTTTGTGCAATTTAAGTATGCAGATTTCAAGTTAGAGGATTTATAAAAAAGGGTCCTGCTCAAAGGGCATTACAAGTGCTGTATGTAGGGTGGTTTAGGAAATTATTGAGCCGTATAGAAAGGGTCCTGAACCCTTTTTAGGGGCGGATATTATGACCTAGTTTTATATAGCCTTTTTTCGGTTCAATATTCTTCGACAAAAATAGATTGATCTAGATTTTTTTCTTTTAAATATTACAAAACATTTTTTTTTTGTGTCCGTTGGTTTGTAAGAAATAAGAATCTAGATCTACAATCGAGTCTACAACGAAATCATGAGAGATCACTGAAGTTAGATACACAATTTTTAGACACCCTGTATATACATTAAACGTTTTTAAACATTCTTGCGTGGATAAAATGCTCCTTAAACCACTTAGTTAACAAATTATTATCAAGTTTGTGTGAAACAAATATCATAATTTTTAATTATCGATATACCTACCTAATACGTCATTTCCGTCAAATTTATTGAACTATGTTTCACAAGTTGCATGCAATTGACAAAAGAAAGGGTTAAAAGTTTAAAAAATGTTGTGCAATATGAAATTATTTGTCATGAAACAATGACAGTCCGTTTTTGGTATGACTTATAACATGAACTCGTTTACTTACTAAAGAATCAATCAGTATTAATGTTATTGTGAAATATTAGTCAAAAACTAAGAGATTATTACTAGAAAACTTATTTATAATCAATGGAAATTTTTACGTAGTCAAGGAAATGCATAATCAAGATTTTTTTAGTCAGTTAGGTCATTGTTGACAAGATATTTCAGAGAAAACCCAAATTCTTATCTTGAGCTTTAAATTTTTGAGTAATTTTATTAATTTCAATAATTTCTTGCGTAAGTTATATCAACAATAATTGGATTTTGACCTTGGTGTAAATAGAAATAAATGTTTATATAGGGTGAGCTAATAAGAACTTTTATGTTGTTTTCTCCTTCAAAATTATTTTAATATTTATATTCGATTTAGTGTGGACCTCAATTATTACAAATAACCTTGACATGCTAGATTTTTCAATCAAATGACATGCTAGATTTTTTGATGTGTCCCTGTATCCGTGCAAAGATAAAACAAAGATCCGCATTTTTAATTGCTACTATCTGATGGCGAATTTCGCAAAATCCTTGTTGTGGTACTCTCGGTGACGTCACTGGCGTTTACATTTACGTTCCATTGTTTTGTTTAATTGTGCCAATTAAGTACCTAATCCTTTTTGGAAAGTACCTATACACATTATTTTTTAATTCATCGAAATTGGCGAAAGAATTTGCAGAATCATTAGCTAAAATAAATATTTACAGTGGGTTCCTGAAATCGCTTTTGTTACGTGAAGTGTTCAAAAAATCGGGTCTTGTTATTTAATGGATTATAATGATGTATACACAGTGACATGTTAAAAAAAATTGACTGGTTGTTGTATTATTGTACTATACTACTGTTGTATTGGCACGTACGCAATGTTAGTTTAAAAAATATTGTATTTATTTTTTATAATTATTTGAATACCTAATTTGTTAAATGTAGAATTTTATATTGAAGCTTACAAAATGTCCTGTTAATAGAACCACTACAGCTTTCCAACAGAGTGGCAATGGATTAAAAATAAACATTTTTTAATATTCTGATACTTAAATTTTTACTAAAAATAATAAAAAAGTCAGTACTTAGTTGATTGATTTTTTAAAAATATAGAGGGATCGCTACGAAGTTATTTAATTCAATAGAATCATATAACTATAACTATAGATTTTCATGGCAATGATTTAATAACACCTTTTGAAATAGCTATAGGAATTTTTCCAAGATATTTACCGTTATTATACTATTAAATTTACCGATATAATTTCTTAAGTCAACTCTATCAGCCCACACCTTAATATAACCTCATTTATTTGTACAGCAAGTACATAAATACATAAGTACTACACTACAAGTTGAAGTATACCAGGTGATACATTCTAATACTATAAGGGAATACTGATTTTGTTGCTGCTGCACAATGCTGGAATGTAAAAAATTGCAAGAGATGTTGTAAAGAAGATTGTAAAAATTGTATTAACAAATATATTAGTTTAATTTCTTTCTTGTAAATGTTTACTTATTTGTTTGTGTTGTTCAACTCAAACAGTACACCCAGGTGTAGTACGGTAGTACTCAGGAACCATCAACTCGAAGTTGGTCAAAGAATGCCCAGAGAAGCTGAACAAATTAGGCAAAGAAAATAAAGTCTTCCTACTCTGAGTGCCAGCCCACCAAGCGATTGAAGGCAACGAAAAAGCAAACGATCTAGCTTGAAAAGGAGCGAACGCTCCACTAACTGGACCAGAACCGTTCTGCTTCCCAAGTGGAATTCAAGAACCTGGAAGACTCAATCCGTAACCTGGAATGGGAATCCCCCAGCGTTCTAAGACACTCGAAGAAATTTCTCAGAACTTAAAACCGAGAAAAATCAAAGATTTTCCTTGATTTAAGTAAGAACAATCTTCGGATTGTCATGGGGTTTTTAACAGGACGTACTGTCTCCTCAACGAATACCTCAGTAGGCTAACAACGGCTATTGCAGATTCTGTGGGGAAAATGATGCCATACATCCTACCTACGTTCAATATGGTGTGGTCAGTATAGTTCAAAAATACTAGTCGATACATTTCGAGGCTCCCTCGTACGTTCGAAGGATTTATTTCCAAGCGGAATCCCTGACATAGAAATATTTATATACAGTTTCGTTGCTCAACAGAGACCGGCCGGCTGTGATGTAACTCGACGACTACCACGGCATTTGTCAAGGTGATTGCTTTTTACACACAGCCAAATACAAAAGAATCGTTTATTAAACAGTTATAGTAATTTATAAATAATTACTCCGTAGCACTGGCTATCCTATAAAGCCTCGTCTACACGTAACGGTCTACTGTCAGGTTTGCGTGTCAGGTAAAACGGAAGACCGTCTAGAAAACTCACAACATAGTTCAAGACAATAGGCCTTTACAAAAAGAAACTTGAATTTTTGATATAAGTTACTTTGAAAGATCTAAAAACGAACTGTGAAAGATTTTATTTAAATTCACCCCCGAGAAGGGGTGAAATAAATAAATAAAATTATTTTTTTTCGAAATTTTGGAGAAACGGTAAGGACTAGAAAAAAAAGTTTAAATAAAAGTAGAGCGTTCAATTTTACATAATAATTGTAATCAAGACAGACTTTTAAAAAGAAATGACGTTATAAACTTGTTGCTAAACCCACCTAATATAGGTGTTACACTGGTATTACAAAAAAAAATCGTTCTATTACGATAAATATATACGCCTTAGATGGTATGTTCAATATAATGAGATCTCAGAACCAATCCTTTTTAGGTTACGAAATGAATCCGTTCGATAGCAGGCAGGTTGCAAAAGCAACGTTTGTTCGAGACTTTTAGCAGATCGTTGGTGGAAATACTCTTTCCCGGTTTATACAGGGTGTGCGCAATTGGTTATATCAGGGTTTTTTTTTCACAACATCTATTAAGAAATTTGCATTTCTCAATTAAAATATTATAAGCTAAATTCTACGCTGGCAGCTGAGCTAGATGCTTTACCTATACCGTTATTCAGAAGCTATACAAACCTATCGATGAAAATTTACTTCCTAGTACACAACTACAGGATATTGGACAGAAGTACACAGTATCAAGTTTATTATAGTGATTTTCTGAGTCGCGTATGGCACAGAACGTTACCCAGAGCGAGTTAAATTGTTTTACAAAGAGTTATTTCTACCTCGAATGGAGTAGCTGTGGCAACACTGCCGTTACCGCTTTTCCTGACGCTAGCTCGCGTGTCGCGGCCTTGAATTTTTACTGCCAACGTGCGTAAAGAAGTTTAACTTCAAAAAGTACGACTTAAAAATTTATTCAGGTACTAGCTGATCCGGCTAAACTTCGTACTACCTGACAGTGATAATAAATGGACTAAATGGTGTAACCATGGGTTAACTAACCCACCTTAACTTGCCTTGAGTACTGGCGGATATTTTTTTTTACTACTCAAAGGACATTATTTATAAAAGAAGTTTTATGACCATTATTTTTCATTCTTATACCAGTTTAATTAAATGAATCTTTTTTGCATCAACCTCAACATTTAAATTGAGCAATGTTATTAATTACTGTCATCAAAACAAGCGTTTAACTTTGAAGGTTTGTCTCTTCTGATTAAATCATTCTCTGCATATTATTGTATATAATTTATATTAAATAAAAAGCAAAAAAAAATACTGAAACTTACATCTCGGTGGAGGGTGAATGAATAAATAGCCGAGCTATTTTGTTCCCACCACTCTGTATAATTAATGAACAAACAGAAAACGGAGGGTGAATCACATGTTTAAATTTGACCCTATAAAATTTTTGTTTCTCACGAACTGACCGGAAGATCCGAAGGGGGTTGATATTTAAAAAAATCGATAATTTTTAGAATCGTAACTTCAAAATTACAGTAGCTAGAATTAGAATTAGAATGAGTGGGAGGGGGGTTAATCACTGTGACCTTACAGATCCATTGTGTCCCCCTTTTTTGAGTCATAACTCATCATACAGTCCCAGGGCTTTGACAAAAGCCAGTATTTGGGACGGTTTTATAGAGGGTAGTTCTCCATCTCCAATATCAATCGTACCAAAATTCATGGCTCGAATGGTTGTCGTCTCGGCGCACTCAGTGATGAGGTGTACTGGTGTTTCCCCATCTTCCCCACAGAATCTGCATTCGCCGTTTCTTCTTAGTTTCAATCTACTGAGGTGTTCATTGAGGAGACAGTGTCCTGTTAAAAACCCCGTGACAATCCGAAGATTGTTCTTACTTAAACCCAGGAAGATCTGTGATTTTTCTTGATCATAAGCCCTCAGAAACTTCTTCGAGTGTCTTGGACCGTTGCAAGATTTCCATTCCAGGTTGCGGATGGAATCTTCCAAGTTCTTGAGTTCCGCCTTGAGTTGGTTACCACTTGGAAAGCAGAACGGTTCTGGTCCAGTTAGTGGAGTGTTCGCCTCCTTTCCTAGCTAGATTATTTGCTTTTTCATTGCCTTCTATCCTTTGGTGAGCAGGCACCCAGAGTAGGATGACTTTGTTTTCTTTGCCTAATTTATTCAGCTTCTCTATGCATTCTTTGTATTGTTTTGTTCTTTGTTTGTCTCTTGTCATTACAGTAGCTAGCGAAATGCGGTTTTCAATTTAAGATTAGGAATAATATTTGCAAAAAAATTTGTAATAACATCAAAATCAGTCAAAGTCGCAGTTTTTCAGATATTCCGTGTTTCCGTAGTCCGTTTTTGAGAAAATCCGTGTGGAGAACTCCAAACTCCCATCGGACGCGACCCCAGGTGGCGGATAGGGGAAACAACCGCGGACCAAAATTAGAAAAAAATCCTTTACTTTGAAACTAAAAGAACTGCCTACCTACTTTTTATTAACATATTTCAGTATGGGCGGCTATATTTTTTAATTTAGAAACGCATCTGACTTTGTACAACCTAGGCTAGACCACTCTGTACAACCTGCGAGGGCAAACAGTACAAGAACATAAAAAATTACAGTTAAAATTGAATCACCCAGATATATATTTAACAAAAATTATCGATACATGTAAAAACTCATCGATATTTAAATATATCGATGATTCTAGTACATCCCTACATAAAATTATACAAATACACGGAGAATATTTTGCATATATCACAAAGAATTCAGCATCTTAATAGCCACCACCCTAAAAGATTGAAACTAGTGGAATGGATGAGACAAGTTCAAGTTCACGATGTAGGGGTGAAAAAACAGGTTTTAGACGCATTGAAAATATGAGAACGAACTATTCGAATTTTTAGTTGATTTTTTCTTGTAATGCTAAATCGGTAGAGGAGGAACAAGTTTGATGGGAAAACGAAACTTTTTGTACAATTTGATTTAATTTATGCCTGGGTATAATTTAAATATATTAATAATAATAATAATAGGTCTTCTAACCGCCCTAACAGAGTTTTTGAGAATAACAAACATTGTTTATTAAGAAAAAAATGTCTACACCTCTTTGGCCGGATTCGTCTGTTCAAAAAAGGCCTCAAACTTTTTGTATATGATTAAGTATTTTTTAATTTTTACTTAATGTTTATTTATGTTATGTTAACTTATCATTAAAATCAAAGGAGCGATAGCCATTTTAGGACTTTTTTGAAGAGATGAATTCGCCACAGGTATAGACCATTTTTTACCTCTTTAGCATCTTAGGTTCCTCTATTATTATGATTATTATTTCAATTATTTGTTAATAAATACATAAAAAAAAGTATGTGCAACAATCTAAATATCAAGAGAGATACAAAGAGTAACAAAAACCTTTGCAAAATGGCGATTGCCTAAATTTAAATAACAGCCTGTAAATGACTGACTAATTACATATTCACAGATACGTGTTACATCTAACCTACCTTTGTTAGTGATCGCATTGAAACAGACCTCCAAGGTTAAAATCCTATTTATTAAACTAAAAAAAAATTGGATTGCTTCACGTCAGTACATTAGCCGAAAATATCGAATAGCGATCTAAAGTTTCAAGGTAAGATCTGATGCGATTCGATATGGCAGTTTGATCTGCAGGGCTGTTACAGGGTGTCCCAAATTCGAACTTGATCATTATTATCAAAATGCCATCTGAAAAAAATCTGCATACTTAAAAGTGGCGAATAAAAGTGCTGCCAGCTGAAAATTAAGATTACAAAATCTGCATGTATGCAATAGCACGAGCAGGGAATGCAGTAAATGCCATGATACCGCATTTTTGCGCATTTTAAACATATCGTAACAATATTGTAATGTTTCGTAGCGATTGGCAAACGCGGTTATTAACAAACCTACTAAATGTCATGTTTTTGTTTCGGAAAAGTACTAGAAAAGTCACGGGAAAATTGTTACTTTTGAAAATCTATTCCAATAAAAATTGTCTGTGAGAAAAATTGTTTTAATATTTTTAATTACACTTGTCACAATTATTATTATATCAACAATCAACTTAAGCCATACAAATTACAATTTAAAGAGAATATTTTTTTGAAATCGACGTAAAAATTTCGCAATCAGTGACGGAGACGGATGATGATTTTTCGCTTGAATAAATAACTATTTAATTTTATTTTTAACCAATAGCCTTGCCTGCGCCCTTGAAACCTGACGACGACATAGAAGGTTGAGCGAATAAAAATAAATAAAATAATTAACTTTTGCGTAATATGAATATTTAAGGTTCGGTAGATACGGGGGTCGATCAAAAATTAATGCAAAAAAAATGGTCAAAAGTGCGAGTCCATTCATTATCTATACAACATTAGACACTATATTATTATAAACTGTTTTTCCGATTTAGTTGAAATTTTGAATGCGCGTATAAGTAATTAAAAAAAATGAAGAAACGCATTACTAAAAATTGTATTAATCAATAATATATATAAAAAAGTCCCCTTGACTAGGATTCGAACCTGCCTTACTACGGCTCGAACGTCATAGCAGCGTAAAGTCCTAATGCTTTAACCACGCGGCCACCGACGACTTGAAAGATTTTATGTAAAATTCTTACTTAAAAAATAATGTTTAGTGAAAGTACTTTTTTATTTATAAACATTTATTTAATTCTGTTTTTAGTATTTGTTCTTATAGCGGCAACATAAATACGTTATCTGTAAAAATTTCAACTGTCTAGCTATAACGGTTCATAAGATAGACCTTTGTGACAGACGGATGGACAGCGAAGTCTTGGTAATAGGGTTCCCGTTTTTACCCTTTGGGTACGGAACCCTATAAAAAACAACCCTCCCATAGTTCTTATACAACCTTCAAATTAACCTAAATTAAATCCTTTTTTCTTGTTTCAGATCGTGTCCCGCGACAACTACTCCCTCATGTCCGCCCATTACCGGCTAGACTCCCACCCCCGCGTCCAGCCCCTGCACGAGGTGGTCTCGGGCGACCGCTACCTCTACCTGGTGTTCCCGCGCGCCCACGGCGACCTGCACTCGTACGTGCGCCACCGGAAACGGCTCCGGGAGTCCGAGGCCCGGAGGCTGTTCCGCCAGATCGCCGACACGGTGGCGCTGTGCCACCGGAACGGCATCGTGCTCAGGGACCTGAAGTTGAGGAAGTTCGTGTTTGCGGACGAGGAACAGTGAGTATATTTTTTCTTAATGTTTGGATTTTTAGTTATTTTATTTTTTATTGCACTAGCGTGTACGCGCGACTTCGTTCGCGTCGAATTAAGGTTGTCGCCCACTAGAACGCGGCGCGGCGCGGCGCTGGGAAGAGATTTTTTTCCGGCTGCGAAGGGACTGCGCCCACTATAGCGCGCTTTTGAAACGCGGCAACGCTATTTAGTTATAGTCGAAGTGTTTTTTACTTACTGTAGTTTAGTTTTTAAAGCAATGAGTTCAAGTACGGACGAAAGCGTATTTTTTGTGTTCTTCTAACAGAGGAAGAGGAAGAGGGGGTGAGGAAAAGTTTGGACTCATACGATTAACAAAAAAAGAAAGAAGTTTAGAGAATTTTACCATCTTTTTCCAGATTTAATAAAAGACAAAATCATTTTTTTCAGTATTACAAAATATAAAGGAAACATTTTACGCACTCCTCAATTGAGGGTTTTAGAAGAAAAAACACCGCGTATATCTACTCATCATATTTTTTCAGAAGAGACAAATTACTAATATTTTTGATAATTCTTATTGATTCTGATGTGTATATTAGTTATGTGGTCAAAAAAACCCTGATCTTTTTGATATATTTAGGTAATTAGAATTTAAAAATTGGAGATTGTCACTTTTGTTAAAAAGTGGAGATTGCCAGTTTTGCCTCTACACCCCTCAATTATATTAAATCTTTGATAGAAAGGCATTTCGTCCATCTGTCTCTAGTGAGGGAAGAATAAAAAAAATATCATATTCCTTTATGAAAATCGATTTGCCTAATTTACCTTTAGAAATACAATTCTGCCATTAATACATATCACTAGTTCCTAGTCAAAAAGCCAACTGAAAAGACTCGAATGCAAAATTATTTCCCTTGTGAGTACGCACACTGCAACGCGCCGAAACGCGGGAGACGGGAAAAAGTTGCTAGAGAAGTCTTCCGACTTCTTGACGGAAATCCCGCGGCGCGCTTCTGCGCTGCGCGCTCTAATGTGCGTTGGTCCATTTAAATACATGGCAAGCAGACAAAAGAAATTTCCACATGGCGCCGCGCCGCGTCGCGCCGCGGTCTAGTGGGCGACAACCTTTAATCATTTTTAATGGTGATGATAAAGGAAAGCAAGAATTTCCATTAACATACAAACTGGAAAAAAAATTCTCACATTTATGTCAGCATGAGAAAAAAACAATATGGCGATATTATTATATAACTTGGTAATATTTGAGGTAGTTTCATCTCGTTGGAATATGACTTTCGAAAAATCCGTTTGCCAAAAATAAGCTTTTTACGTCAAACAGTTTAAGCAGAATCGTGGTTAATCAATTACCCAACTTTTTGGAACACCCTGTATGGTTTTTTAAAAAAAATTCAAAATATGTTTAAAAATAAAATAAATTATGCGTGTCCAAGCGTTTTCCCGAAAGACTAGCCGTTTTTTAAATAACAAATATTGTAATATTTAAGAGGCGTTATCACCCTCTTGGAATTTAAGATTCGAGAAACCCCTCCTTATCGAACCTCTACACCCCACAGTCAATCCGTTTGCCAAAAATCAGCTTTAAACGTCAAGCAGTTTAAGCAGAATCGTGATTACTCAATGGTCATATTTTATGAAACACCCTGTATAAATTTTTAAAAAATCTTAAAATATGTAAAACAACAAAATAAAATATACGTGTTTAAGAGTTTTTCCGAAAAGCTCACCGGTTTTTAAATAAAAAATATTCTAATATTTGAGGGGTGGTTTCACCCCCTTAGAATTCGAGTTTCGAAAACTACTTCTTATCGAACTTCTACACCCTAAAGTCAATCCGTTTTCCAAAAATCAGCTTTTTACGTCAATGGCTTTAAGCAGGATCGTGACCAGATTTTTTGAAACACCCTGTATACATTTTTATAAATCTTAAAATATGTAAAAAAAAACAAAATAAAATATACGTGTTTAAACGTTTTTTCGGAAACTTGACCGTTTTTTAAATAAAAAATATTGTAGGTAATATTTGAGGGGTGGTTTCACCCCCTTAATTGGAACTGGAATTTCGAAAAATCCCTTCTTATCACTCTAGAATCAACCTGTATGCCAAAATTGAGCTTCTTACGTTGAGTGGTTTGAGCAGGATCGTGATTAATCAGTGAGACAGTCATTTAAAGATTTTATATATTAGTAGAGAAGTATAGATTATATTCTTTGCAAAACCTAGCAACCTAGCCAAGCTGTCTTAGTCATTGGTTGATGACGTACATAAACCATTTGAAATATGTTTTGTAAAGCGACGACGCGTCGGTACCCCGGATATCTTTTTATATCTCGTCCAAATTCGCACATTCGATGCCAGATACAGTGAGATATTTTTAAGATTTCCGTTGGTACATAAACGCTCAGACTTGGCCAATGGTTTTATTTTAAGCATGGTCCACACGAACTGATTACGAACTAATGAACTACAAATAAAGGAATTGAAAAAACATGAAATTTGCCCGATAAAATAAATTTTTGTCAAAACAAAAACGACAAAAAATGTCGTCGATTTCATGACTCCAGATGAAAGAAAGAGACTGCTGAGGAATAACGAAGAAAGACCTTAAAAGAATAGAGTAGGTACGACAAAAGATCCAGATAATAGATGTCATCCACAGAATCAAATCCCTCAAGTGGCAATGGACAGGACCCCTGGCAAGAAGGACAGGACCACAAAAATTACAGCATGATACCCACGAGGAATTAACAGACCTAGAGGAAGACCAAACCTGAGATAGGACCATGATATTAGGAAATTAGCAGCGATAACTTGGGCCTGCATAGCCAAAAATAGATAACAATGGGCTCTACTACAAAGAGAGTATATAAAAGATAATTGGAAGATGATGATTCAACAAAAATACAAAAGAAAACTAAAGGCTGCCATTATGCATCCAGTATTCTCGTAACGAACTAGTTTGAATAGCTATTATCATAAATAACAATCCTCCCTGCTTTGACTGGAGTAACACGGATGCATCTACCTTTTGAAATGGCTGCTAGAGATTTCGTACCGCGATATAATACCGGAATGTACGGCGATCTGCGAGAAGCCCGTTCGCCATTTTAAAAATCTAAACTACGCGCCGTACCTGAATAATGTAAATTGCATCTGGTACTGCCCATGGGAGATGGCGAGCGTACGTACGGAATACAGAAAAGGCCTTAACCTTACAGCTTTTTTATCACCTCGAGTAGAATTAGAAGAGAAGAGCTCTTACAGGTGGTACTACAGTGCGAATTAGTAGGTACTATATTAAGTTTTAGAGTCTGTTCATTTTCACAAAGGGGTGGTCCATGATAAAACTTAGGCTGTATTCCGTTGCTTACCTTGGTTATGGTTTTATGTTCCGTTTCTATCGGTTTCCTGCATAGATAAAAGACTTATACTATTAAAAAATAGATAGGCAACTTATAATACATTTCAATTTTATTATACAAGGGCGCCTCTGGTAGATGGAGGAAGAAATACTAATGGAAGAGAGGGGTGCGGGGAAGGGGCGTTGTTTTAGTTAATTTAAAATAAATTTAGACATACATGTAAGAACACTTTGTGTGCTTTTAATTAGGTCGAACATATTATAAACGATAAATCAACTGAATTAAAAGCATACAAAGTGTTCTTATATGTCGGATATTAATTAAAAAATATATTAAAAAGACTAGAAATAGTATGTATTAAGTTGTTACAGTTATAATTTAATCTTTGGCGGTTTTCAGCAAATAGCAGGCAGTTTTACATAATTTTCCTCCCTTTGAAGTGAATTGGAAACGGCTATATAATTTTGGTATAGCCAAGATTCCCAGTTTGTTTCCGTTTGAGACCTGAAATAATAAAAACAAATTAAATTAGATGTAATCATCTGCTGATCATGCTAATATAACACAACGCGCGTCCTTAATTCCTTACATGCACCGTAATAAAATTAAATAACTGCTCAGCAGCTGGCATTTATTAGCAGTACTAATTTAAAAAATCTATAACTGTAAGTAGGTAGATATGTTTAATTTACTTACCATTGTATCCTTCGGAAACCAGGTGTACAACAATTAAACTCCATGATAAAAAATAATTAAGAGTCTATACAAAACACAAATTGTCCCACCATTTTTAAAAAACATTGTCTAAAACAGAATACTGGCAAAAACTCTGAAGGAATTTAATTTTACAATAATTCGACAAATCAAAAACGAAATCAAACCGTAAAATCACAACAAAGCGTCTCTGAGTGACAGTTAAAAATCAAATTTTATTATTGTCAGATATTGACATTTGCATTGTTAATATTGACAGTTTTAATATTTTGCGCCTCTGCATCTTGGAGGAAAAACTATTTTTAATGAACCGTCATTTCCATTTAAGTTTCTCAGCCATGGTTTCCTGAAAGTTTTCTTATTACGGAACACGGTTTCTGAAAAATATCTATCATAATTGTCACCAAACTAACCAGCGCGTGCAGGCTGGTTTTTCTAGTTTTGTTTGTCAATCAATGTCATTTATGTGACAGAAATCAAGCAAATATTGGAAGTTCGAGTAAAATTCTCATTTAATTTCTAAAATTTGAAATAATATTTTGTATTTATATCCAAAAGCAATGGAGGTACTTTTTAGGACCATTGTTTCTTAAAGCCAGGAACATTTTAAGAAAACATGAAAAACAAGACAACAAGTTATATATCGTGAATGTTTTGTAAGCTATAAAAATATAAATATTGATTCGATTTGTTTATTTATTATTGATCTGTTTTAATGTTGGACCTGCCAATCTTCACTTGAGCTGTCTAACTAGTTTAACAGTTCATTAATAAAGTATTTTTCAATATTAAACTCCATTGAAAAGAAGAAACAAACCTAAAAGCAGATAATAGGTACATTAAAAATGCATAAATGATACATTTTATGATTAGGTATTGAAATTTAGAAAACGTCAACATTTGACGTTTCCAGTATTTTACCGTTCCGT